TTTTGAACTCATCATCCAAAAACACGTCTAGCAGTGTAGGTCTCATTTTAAACGGCCACTTCGACTTGGGATCCTTTCCTGGTAAGATGGTAGGTCAGCATGTAGACGTGGCTGTCGAAGAAATCTGAGTAGAATTGTAGTAGGTCTTCTCCATTGCCTCTAGAAATGAAGTAACTGTCCCGTCACGACGACCGGAGAAAGTTATTTTAAGCTTATAATTGACGAAGCTCCGCAGCGCTTCGCAAATGCTCTTCCCAGCTTCAGCGGTATCGGCCAGAACAGCTCTCTTTCATATCTTCCTTTATCGCTTCTCTGCATAGCATCGCAAACTCGTACATTAGAGGTTATTGTCTGCTGCTCGCACGATTACACATCGGCATATCAGCTCGAGAGCCCTTGAAGAGGGAGGTCTCTTGCAGTTTTTCTTTTTCTTTCATCTTTCAAAACTGGGGTCGAGCTACATTTTCTATATCGCAAACATCTAAATCGGATGGTCAGGTATTAGTACGAGTGGATGTTCATGGCCAAGTGCATGTTGGCGAGGACACGTATACCACCGACACCTCTGCTGCCGCATGTTCCAAAGAATAGTTTCGCTCCAGTTTCGAAAACGGCGTGCGACGGACGGCGCCTTCTCGACTCGGTCAGCTCTGTGACTTCGTACTAGTTCTCCCCGTCTTGCAGCACCAGATCTTTGATTAACGCTTCCGATGCCAGCGATCGTGCATTGAAACTACAGACGCCTTTTTTATGGCCTGCAAAGTTTAGCAGCCTCTCCTAAGTGCTCCCACATTTCGCTTCTGTATTGGGGGACTCCCTCAGGTTCGGGAATCGAAGCCCAAACATATTGTTGTTTTCGGCATGTGAATACTTGCCTGCTTGCCAGGCTCTGACACGTGCGACGGGGGCCATGCAAGTATGCCATTGATGTATTTTCTATTTATATGTACATACATCCCCTGCTGGCCTTCTACCTCAACGCGGTGAGATGGTGAAACGTGCGGCGTGTGAACGTCCGCTATATCACTCTTATTTATGTGAAAAAAACCGGTTCTGTAATTTTTTTGTATTTCATCGTTGCTACAATGCAATGTTCCGATAGCTTCCAGTTATGCGAGGTTTTATATTGACCGGCTC